CTGGACACCAGGCAGGTGACAGTCCTACTTCTGCTATGACTGCTAGCTTGCCTTCTGTTTGCATGACCCCTTTGCTTTAAAAACCGCACAGAAAAATCCCTTTGTCCGTCCACTTCCAGGGTAAAGGGAAGGCTAGGTGAATCTGTCCTTTGGTAAAAGAAACGATGGGATGTGCTGAATATTAGCAGGGCAGAGATGAGATGAATAACAATGATAATAAAAAGAACATTTATGGAGAACTTAACGTGGACAGACCGAATGTTAAAAGTGTAACACACATGGGGCCCTGGGGTGGCTCAGTCTGTTGAGCGTCCGCCTTTGGCTCAGGTCATGATCTCACGGTTTGTGAATTTGAGCCCCGTGTCGGGTTGTGTGCTGACAGCTCAGAGACTGTAGCCTACTTCAGATTCTGTGTCTCCCTCTCCCTCTGAGCCTGCCCTGCTCGCACTCTGTCTCTCTCTTTCTCAAAAATAAAATAAACATTTAAGAAATTTAAAAAAAGTGTGACACACATTATTTAATCCCTCTAACAACCTATGAGGCACGTACCACTAATGGACAGAGAGGTTAAGGAATTTGCTTAATATCACATTCCTACTATGTGGCTAACCAGGATTCCAGAGCACAGGCTCTAATATTCCAAGCAGTTAGACATGTGATGAGCATCTTTTCCCAAGAAAAATTCAGGACATGTGGACTAAAATATATTAGCACACCTTGGGTACAAGGGAACTGGACATTTGTGATTTGGACTGTTGAGGAAAATGCTGGCAGTGAAGTCACCGGCCTTTAAACACCAGAAGGAAATTATGTTCAAATTTCTGTTCTTGCATCCTTGGCAATAAAGAAATTATGCTGTTTATATTTGGAGTGTGCAATTAGCATCATCCTGATTGACCTATTGGAAATTAAAAATAGTTTTGCTTAGAGTCTACCAAATCACTGATGAGAATGTTTCCTGATAGACTTGGTAGAGATTCCTGATGCTTGTGACTAGAGCTTCCGTTTGCCATTTAGGGAGGGTTTAGTTTGGTCATAATCAACATTTTCACCAATTTCTGAAGTGTATATTGAGCTTTCTTTTTCTTTTTTTTTAAATATAGAGTATAACTGTATTACTAACCTATGTGAGGTAAACAGAAACATCATCTCATGTGGTGACTTCTGATTTCTGCACTTTGGGGTCAGAATTTACAAAGGAATTATACATAAATAAGACACACTTCTAAGCCTGTCTGCAGGGTTGACTTTGTATGTGGAGGTGGAGTGAGAAGATGATTGGATAGTGTGATTTGAGAGTTTCCAATCATTGTCCTGACACTGTCTGAAGCTGTGGCCAATTCGCTGATATCCTCTATGGAAAAGAAATGGAAAAAAAACTGTTTGGGTTACAGTAAGGATGGATTGAGTGAGAGATCTGAAGTTCTGCCATTTCGTTTCTTCCCGGGGCTTCTTTCTATCTATACCATTTCTAACACTGCTGGCCAACACTAGAGAAATAATTAATTTCTGTGAGTAAGGAATCACATTCTGTATACCAGACCAATAGATTTTGGCCCTGAGGAAAGTTTTCATGGAACATTAATGGGAAGGAAGGATGGTCTTTATTGACCACCTATTATGTACTTGACAGTGTATATATAGGCGTCTTACACACATTAGGGCATTTAAATCTCCCAACAGGTCTGTGTGGTAGTGACTGGGATGGAAAGAGACTGGAGAATGGGGAGCACAGTACCTAATCCTAAATAGGATCTCTCCTTGAACTGGCCAAATGGCCTATGTTGGACTCGTAAGTCCATATTCAGATCTAATATCTCACCACTTCAGTGGTGAAGAAAGTGAGACCTAGGGATTCTTACTGATTTTTTTATAGTAGTTATAGCTAGGGTTGTGGTGGAACAGAATTCTCACCGATAATCCCTATTCTGGGTCTCCTGGCTGTAAAACCGGCACCCCTGTCCTGGAACATGGGGAGGAAGCGTAAGATGAGAGGTAAATGTGGATTGGCAAGTCCTTACTCCTTACTCCACCTCTCTGGCTAGTCATGAGGTCTTGCATGAGCCCCTCAGTCTTTGTGTGCCTTTTTCCTCTATTGCAGAGAGCAAACATTTTGATACATGGGATGGGCCTGGTAGACAACAAGCCTTCAGTAAGGTGAGCTATTATCGCTATGTGTGACTAGTGTGACAAAGATCAAGTGCAGAGGCTGTTCCTCTGCCTGGTTCTTAGGACTGGACTGGGGACCTTGGGTGGCTGGCAAAAGCTTCTTAGTCAGTGGTAAATGGCTATTTTAGGATAATGGATGCTGAAGAAAACCTTGGTCATTTCAATATTTTGCCCTGAAGTGGTCCTGGGGAGTTATATTCTTTAAACCTGGAGATCCCTCAACTAAGAGCAAATAGTAAGCATTAGTTGAGCTTATTCTTGAAATTATTATTAAAGAAAGCAAGGCCATATGTTAAGAATACAGGGATACAAAGGTAGGATAAACAAGCACGGTGCAACCGAGGGCAGACGTTTCAGTTCTGACTAATTTAAGTTCATTTTAATGGACACCATCTAATTCAACTGATTGTGAAGTAAAGTGAGCTCTATCTCTCACATAGTCAGAAAAGAAGCCGCTCATTGATTTTTACTTCACTATCCTCTGAAATATAGTAGTTTTACAGACTTTTAATGACAGGAAAAGGGCTTCTGTTTTGTTTTCTTTTGTTTCTTGAGGGCGAGGGGTTGGTTAACAAGCCATAGATATCAGTACTGTGCTGCATAGTTTGTGAAACTTTAATGTTTTCCAGTTTCAACTGACTGAAGACATCCTTGCTTTAAATGGAGATACAAAGAAAATATAGCACATGGAATCCATGTTAGACAGTTACACAGTTTAATCATTTGGAAAATAATCCTGATTATAATTATAAAAGTGCTGTAGACTCTAATAATTTGTAGAATTAATCTATTATTTATTGGGCCATTCCCATCATTCACTATGTTAGGTGTTGAGGATGCATTGGTAAGACTTAGTCTCTGCCTTTGAAGAGTTCATGGCTTAGTGGGGGAGAAAAAGACATGGTGAAAAAAGTACATTCAATGTAAGAAGTGTCATCGTAAAATGTACAAAGTGCTAGCATAGGAAACAGCTCCTTCTGTGAACACTTGTGAAAGCTTCACTAAAAAGAATCTTACCAAGCTAAGAGTTCCAGAAGATGATTACAAACTATGACTGTACTGTAGATACACCTGGTCATTCTTTTTTTTTTTTTTTCAACGTTTATTTATTTTTGGGACAGAGAGAGACAGAGCATGAACGGGCGAGGGGCAGAGAGAGAGGGAGACACAGAATCGGAAACAGGCTCCAGGCTCTGAGCCATCAGCCCAGAGCCCGACGCGGGGCTCGAACTCATGGACCGTGAGATCGTGACCTGGTTGAAGTCGGACGCTTAACCGACTGCGCCACCCAGGCGCCCCTACACCTGGTCATTCTTAGAAGCTTGAACATATGTCAAGCTAGTGAGAAGTATGGCAGTGAACTCCCAGTTATGCCTGTGTAGATTAGCTATACTGCAGGACTTGGGAGTGGCTCTCTCTGTCCCATCTCAAAATCTGCTGACATCTCAGCTCTCCCTCTTGCTACCCAGAACATTCCTGAATCATGCTGCCAATCCAGGAGAGAGGCTATTCTTCTCCTCATATGTCTGCCATTGGAGGCATATAGGAATTATCCCATTTTCCATCTGACTATACCAACTAGGGATCACTTCCATTTGCACAGAATATCAGTATACTGGAAAGCACCTTTTAATACAGTATAAGCAGCTGGTAAACTGAGGTAGCAGTTGTTATTTGGTGTGGAAGGAAACAAAGGCCACACACACATGTGATGGAGAAGAGGTTACATCAGAAAGAAAGGAATTGGTCAAATGTGGTCAAAGGTCTTCCTCTGCCATGCTACAGATAAAGCGTTTAAGAATTACAGCATGATAGGTTCCTGAGAGCTTCAAGCTTCAACAACATTGCACATGTGTGTGCTTCTGATATATGTATGCATAACTGTATTATGAATGTATGTATGATTGTATACGTGTGTATGGGTATATATGCATGTGTACATATATCTGTCCATTTCTAAGTGTGTGTGAATGTGTGTGAATTTATAAATATGTGAACAAATGTGTGACTATATTTGCGTGGGGTGTGCCAGACCGGACAGGCTGGAAAGTAAGTGTATGGAAAGTAAGTGTAAGACTACTCATATCCTCCCGGGCTGTCTCTCCCCACCCCACCTCCACATCGCCAACTGGCAAAAGCAGAAAGGATGCTCTATATGACCTGAGACTGCATTAGAAAGTTTGCACTTCTTTGAGGCTATTCCACCTGGGAATCTCATTGGTTCCCTGCAGGATGGTGGATTTTGCAAGAAGTCTGCGGATTCCCCCAGGACGAAGGGACTGCTGCTGACACGCTAGGCTGAAGCCAACCGCCCCCCCCCCCCCACTCCACCCCCACTCCCACCCCGCCCCCGCCTCCGCCGCTTCCCAAGTGGTCCTGGGTCTGCAGCCGCCTGC